AGGGGCTCCTGGCCTTACTACTAGGAGCAAGGACGCTACTAGCAGCACCCTGCAGCGGCACTCTGCAGCGCTCCAGCGGACCGGCACCAAGCACCGACAACCTGTTTGGAAAGCGTGCGCAGCCAGCTCATTCCTATTTGAAGTAAGAACCCCATAGCTCTCGCTACCTGGGGAAAAACAACAAGTATCTCTGGGGTTGTCATTGCTTTAAGTTGTAGATCCTTTCAGCTTCTCACGCGCAGGTTTTCTACGGTGGACGAGCGTGAGGAAGTTCGGCGATTGTTGCAAATCCCACTGCTGAGGGGCAGGCCGTGTCTGAATTTGTGCTTGTCCAGCATTTTGATGGGCTTTGGTCAATTTTGTGCAGGGGCTTGGCTCTAGCTGCAGAGTATGCGTCCTTGCTGAGCTCGCCCCCTGCTATCATTGAGGATGCACGCGCACATCTTGAAATCAGAAGGCTTTGCTAGCAGCAAATGCGGGCAGCAAAGTGTAAAGTTGCGACGGCGTGTGATTTGTCTCATGTGCGACATGCACTGTTTTCCCGCAGCGCTTGAGCCCTGGCTCACTCGAGAAAAGGCGCCCGGCCGCTTGGAGCGGCTTCCGTGTGTTTCGGCCCCTTTGAGGGGCGCGCCATAGGTTTTTCCGTGGTTGGGTCCCCCGTTGACTAGGACCCATCCCGTTGCAAAAGTCTTAATTGAAAAGCAAAGATCACACATATTTACAGTACATGTTAAATATTGGGTGGGCTTTGGCTTCGAGGTCTGGCCAATGAGCTAGAATTGCTCAATCAACCTTTGCATGTTTTTGCCCCAACGACTCAGTCGTGACTTGCGTACCGATACCGATTCTTGTAATCGAGACGACGCTATTCCTTTTTGAAAGCTATGGAATATGAGATGACTTGCGTGCAGGAGGAGCTTCCTATGCCTTCCGCGCCGCCAGCAGACTTTCCAGAAGCCTGCCCCTGAGTGTTTACATGTAAACCTAGCTGCCAACTGCACCAAGCATCTCATGAATTCAGTCCCGACGCATTTTTCAACGCGACGTATTCAAGGCAGCTCCGACCCCACCGGTGGAACCGGTGGACCAAGCTCATCGGTCCCCACCGGCTCAGCAGGCGACAGGAACAAGCACCCTTTTTACACGGCTCCTGGCATCGCTACGAACAAGCGATCGGACGCTACTGGGGCTCCTGGCCTCACTACCAGGAACAAGAAGCTATTAGGGGCTCCTGGCATCGCTAACCACATGGACACCACGGGAATGGGAAGGTCCGGGCCCCTTGAAAAGGGGGCCTTACATGGCCTTACCTCCCCCCTTTTTTCATTTCTTGATTCTTATTTTTTTTGGGTCTCTTCCTCAAATGAGTCCGAAAAAAACCAGGTGGTGTCCAACACCGCTGAGAGCAGTACTCGGAAAGCTGGGCAAGATAGTCAAGCAGCGTTTGCAGTGACATGTTTGTTACGGCTCCATGATCGAATGAAGGAATTAATCTTCAGCCGCACCCCGCCTGTCTCAGCTGCGCATTAGAGTCCAAAACAAGATTTTCCTTGACATTGCATGCCTTAAAGCCTTTTGGACATCTTGCTTTCCTGTCCTGTCCAACTGCCTTTACCACAACGAGCGCAACTGACAGGGCTTGACCGGTGGGAACGCCTGCCTTGAACGTGTCAAAACATGTTCATCAGTGTTGCGGGGTATCAGTTTTTCAGGCTGATCAGCAAGCTTCACCGGATGATGGTCTTTGTGTGGCATGCAGCTCAGGCTTTCATTTGTCAATGATAAGTCAGTAATTAGTTGCTTTTGGGGCTATTAGGTTGGAGGCCATTGCAGGAAAATGACAGAACAGCACGCAAGGTTTGCCTGGAGCACCCCGCTGACACGGCTGTGGTTCCCTGTTTCTGGGCTTTTTTTGAAGGTTTCTGTTGACGTCGTGCCACGATACGTCGGCCGTTGAACGCCTTTTTATAGCTATGTTCGTAGCATCCTTGCTAGTAGTAGTAAGGCCAGGAGCCCCTAGTAGCGTCCTTGGTAGCTTCTTGTTCCTAGTAGCATCCTTGCTACTAGTAGTAATGCCAAGAGCTACTAGGAGCTTCTTCTTCCTAGAAATGCACCTGTCATAGTCATTGTTCCTTCTGGTGCCACAAGGTGGACATTTATGTGCGTGCCATCGCTGTATGGGACAAGTCATGGCAGCAGAGTGGCCCTGTCGCAAAGGAGACAGCACATTGTGGTGGCAAATGAGACTCCGTCAAGTCAAACCTAAAACCCGAACTGAAACTGTTTCTGAAAGATTCCAGCGATCTTCTTCAAGGGAACTTTTAGTTGGGTTCCTCGGGTTCCTAGATTTTGTTGGAAACCGAGTGCAACTGGATAGTGCAAAACCTGAGGCGACTTTGCCCAATGTGTCGCGTTGAAGCATCTTCCACTATGCGAATTTATCGCCCTTGAAACGCGTTCGGTTCGCGGAGAAGTCCGCTCTTCTGAAGCCAATTTGTCGCCTGACTGACATCCTTTTACAGTTTCTCGTGCACCGTCGTGGCACAGTGCGGTTGCTGAGAAAAGACAGCGCGTATTCAATGTGTATTGAGGGTTTGTCAGCACGTATTTTTGAGGATTAACAAGAAGCTACTAGGAACAAGTGCATCGCTAGTAGTAACAAGTGCCTTACTAGTAGTAACAAGAAGCTAGTAGAAACAAGTGCATCGCTACTAGGAACAGGTGCATGGCTGGATGTCTTGGCCAAAAAAAGGACAGTGACCTTCTCCACGAGGCTGTTGGTCTTCGTCCTTGCCCCGGAACTGTGCAGGAAGAGGCAAGAGGTTGAACAGGGAGAATGAGGTCTTTGTAGCTTTAAACATAGCATCCAAGAAGAATACAATACATGTTCTCTTTCTTTTTATTATCTTTTCTCAAGCATCAGCTCCAGTTGCTTGTGGTATTCGTTGAGAAAAGTGCAGCCACTTGGAGTGACTTTTAGTCAGATGCTCCCAGTAGCGTTCTTGTTCCTAGTAGTAAGGCCAGGAGCCCCTAGGTAGCATCCTTGCTCCTAGCGATGCCCTTTGTTACTAGTAGCGTTCTTGTTCCTGATGTCTCCATGAGATGCAGTCCTCGAATTTGGTGGCACGACGCTTCTGATCTCGAGAGCATTGGCAGCAAAAGACCAGACCAGCAAAGTTCGTGGATGTCGGCAGAAACCGCATATCTTTTTGATTCCCAGGGATGGTGATGCCGATGATGCCGATGATGCCGATGATGCCGATGATGCCGATGAAGGAGCTGCCACGTCCAAGCAGGGTCACTAACACTTATGCTAAAAGCATGGCGTGACTGCTCATGAGGCACTTGTAGTGCGTGGAGATGTGCGATGAGATGGTGCAGCAGCGTGTCGCGTCACGAGCAGAACCAACCACGCGGAACACCTGCAGATCCCTAAGCCCTAATTACTTGACTTCTTTGTAACTTCCCTAGGTCGGGGGCCAAGGCCATCACTAGCAGGTTGGAGGCCATATTAGGGGAAGCACCTAGTCGCGCTACTTACTATTAGCTTACCTCCTTGTTACCAACTTAAGCTTACGTATGATACCCCCCACCTCACGTCCTTACCACCCCACATATTTGGAGATTGGTGATGTAGTTGGAAATCCCGGGAGCATTTTACTTCTTTCTCTTTGCTAGACAGCTTTTCTCCAATTATTTGTGTCGATGTTTCTTCACTTTTTGTCCAACCTCTTCTGTACTTTCTTCTCAGCCGTCTACTAAAATCTTAGCTTGTTGATGCATTTTTCTTGTAATCTCCACCTCATGCAGCAATTGACAGTCATTTTCAATAACCTTCAGTTGTGCCCTGGTGCTAAGGCACACCAATGCACCCCTCCCTTAAGGTTGAACAATGGGATGCATGCCTTGTTCACATTTGCTTGATCAAGCAGCATAGGTCGGATCAGATCCCAACTGCAAAAGGGCAGACGGTGTCAATGGATTCTTCTTCATCTCCAGAGCTGGTTTGTTACATGGGTTCATTGATGCATATTGATACCTTCAGGGCTTGCGCCTCTCCCTTTCATTGTGGTTTGTTGATTTTCCCCGAGTGACGTATTTATTCTCATTCCTTGCTGGTCATGGAGCTGTTGTCTACTTGTCAACTGGATGCTCTCTTTAATTCTCTTCGTGCTGGCTTGCAGATGTTTGAGACTGGTCCCGAGTCCTTTGTCTTGCTTTGGTGCAAAGAATGCACGGTGAATTTCTCAAAGGACTCTTTTTTGACTGCCGCTCTGCCCCCAAACCTAGAAGCGATGGCCTCTAACCTAGAAGCGATGGCCTGTGTGAGCTCTTCCGGAATCTGTTTTAAGTTGATTCTTCTGAGTCTCATGTTGGCTCAACCTCTGTGGGGTGAAATTGAGGCCTGTCTTCGAAGGCTCAACAACCACTCTCCTGACTCACGGTGCACCTAAGCCGGATTTATATATAGCAATTCTAATTTAATTTAATTCTAATTACTAAGTCTTGTTTCTACTAGCTTCTTGTTACTACTAGTAAGGCACTTGTTACTAGAAGCGATGCACTTGTTTCTAGTAGCGAAGTAACTGGCCGGATTTAGACTTTTTGCTTAAGCAGCGCACAAGGATCTCTGTAATCGTTTGCTGGTTTGAGACTTGTCTTGGTTGCTGATGAAAACTTGACTTGCACACACTTCAAAGTGTTTACCGCTATATAGCCATTTGACGTGTGTTTCTACTCGGAGGTCTTTTTGAGATGCAAAACAGTGCAAAGCCATTCTGAGATTTTCCAGTGCGACAGTTCCAGGCTGCCCAATGTCTTGCGCGGCTTGCAGATGGTGCTGGAAGTGCTTTTCAAATTGCACTCGCCCGAGCCGCTGTCAAAGAAGAGGACCTGAGACGCTCTAATACTAGGGGCTCCTGGCATCGCTAGGGGCTCCTGGCCTTACTACTAGGAACAAGAAGCTGCGATGTATTACACCCAATGTTATGTTCGGCACGCTTTAGTGATCGCTTCAGAGGGTGGACACTTGTGCCTGCAGGAATGCTTGCTCAACTCAACTTTGCAGAGTTTGCACTCTTTTCTTTGGAATTCATGTTCGAAACAGAGTGTAATTTGGACTCCAGATATTTCACCTGAATATGTGAAGCCTTCCAACAGACACTTTTTTGGCACGCACATCCAAACTTGAAGAGGATTTTCGGGTAAGCACATAAACATTTGATGAGACAACAGATCCATATTTAAGAAAGTAAACGTTAACACCAATACAAAACAAGCAGCATGCATAGACTCAACCCCTCTCCACCCAGCGTTTTGCAGGAAAGAGTCTTACGAACACTGCGAAGATCGCAAGCAGCAATTCAATGGCTGAACCCTAAGCAGCTAATTGGTGTCGAAGAAGGGCATTGCTTTTAGGAGCAAGGACGCTACTAGGGGCTCCTGGCATCGCTACTAGGAACAAGAAGCTACTAGGAGCTCCTGGCCTTACTACTAGGAGCAAGGATGCTATTAGGAGCAAGAAGCTAGAGCAGCTAGTTTCATTGGTTCGGAGGTGTCGATACGTAGTGTGATGTGAATTTGTGCCATGAGGCCATTGGCTGCTGCGCTAATGTCCATCTCCAACCCGGAGGCGAGAGTGGGCAAAAAGGAGGCATTTGATTTTCTTTCAGTCTTTATTTTTGGAAAGACCTTTAGATCTCTTTTTCCTTTTGTAATTTCCTGAATTTGACTCCATGCCATAGGATGGCTTGCGAGATGGTTGCCACTCATACAAAAACACTCTTGTTGAAAAGAAGCATCCACCATAAGTAGAAGCACTGGTTTTCCGGTACAGTTGTCCTATTAATGTGGGCAGATTGCAACAACTTCGCAACGTTGTTATTACTCGATAAGATATATAGTTATCCATTTGCTCAACAAGATTTTCCGACCATTGTTGGTGAGAGAGATAGAGAGAGAGAGAGAGCGAGAGCGTCTAATAGTGATGGCCTCCAACCTAAGAGCGATGACCTCCAACCTATTGTAAATATCTTGGCAAGAGTTCGGGACGAAGGTTTGAAGAACCAACGGTAGATTTGCGTGGTGCGGTGCGACAACTCGACTGGTTGTGATGTGCCTCAAAGGATGGTGTACAGCAACTAAATCACCAGATATTTGTTTTATGTTTTTTTCTTTTTTGTTTGTTTGTTTAGTTCTTTGTCTTTTTCAGGCAGCCGCCTGCTTTGCATTTCACCTGTGACCACTTTCAACCTACTTAAACACCCAGAGGTGTGGTTACCACACTGTCACACCCTGCTGCTTGCTGGCTTCTCACCGGCAGTTTCCATTGAAACTTTCACGGTCGGACGCCGCTGTACTTTTTGCGGTTTCATTAGGGCTTGTGGCATTCAGTTTGTACGTATATAATCTCAAGTATGTGTGTACACCATTATGATAAGCGGTAAGAGTCTTAGAGTTGACTAGACGATTTGCGCAGGGGGGACTGAGCTCTCTGATGCTACCCTGTCCAACGAAACCATGCATTAGAAAAAGACATATCCACTGGCCTGATTTGTAGCAGCGAAATGTTTTTCAATCATTGTAGAATGAAGCATGCTGCCAAGCTTATATGACGGCACCATCGACAGGTTTTGGCGGTGTCGCGTGTTTTCGCAAAGGATGCCCTTCTTAGGAGGTTCCGAGCAACGACATCGCTTGAACATCCTTCATTCTAGCCTTCCCTCATTCTGTGTGTCTGTGATGGCAGTGGAGATTGGCGCAAAGATTTCCCATGTGAGAGGCCTTCGCCATCATTGCAAAGTTGGACTTGTCAAGGTTAGGGCAAATTGAAGGCGCTTATCTCCGTCACTTCAAGCAGCTGTTATCATTCCCTAAAGATCTAGGAGCCAAATGAATAGTGTGAGCTATCCTGCGTCCTAGGTAGTAGCTGTTACTGTTAGCTTCCACTAGCTACCTAGCTACTACCTCCCTCTTCTCGGCCTACCCCCCTAAAAAAAACAAAAAACACTTTTTGCGCCAGGCGAGTTGAATGGGAAAGCAGTGTGGATGGCATTGCATGCTGTGGCCTAGTCGTTCGGCGTTGTGGAAGAGCCGTGATTTCTCAATACCTCCCGCTCCAGCAACAGAGGCTGGTGTGGTGCGGAGGAAGCGAATCATTGCGACTGAACTTGAACGATTTAGACATCATCGCAACTTTTTCAGGTTGAAATTAATCTATTTCCATGCATGTCTGAAATGAGTCTTCCCCAAGCCATTTTTTCCGCTCAGCAATGCAGCTGAAAGCGCAAGCAGCGCAGTGGGCAGACGGTACTGCCCGGTGTTCCAAGTTCCATTGAGAAGTGTACCATGTAGTGCAACCAAGTGAGATGAGATGTAAGTTCCCAAGCTTAAAGCGATGAATTATGGTTTTGAACACTTTGGTTTGGGATGCAAAGATAAGAGGAGTGGAT